GTTTTTTATCGCAAAATAACTTAAATACTATCAAAAGGCTTATTTTTAATTTTTATTAAATGTCTCAAAAAATTTTGGTTTCGAAGCAAAATGTTAGGTACAAAAGTTGTTTATCTAATCATTCTACACAAAAAGTAAATGTTAAGAAAAATTAGAAAGTTTTTTTTACTGTTTAAACAAGCAAGAAAGCCGGAAAGCGCAAAAAAATTGAGATGCATGAAAATACATGTGCAATTTTTAAAATTAAATAAAAATCGAACGTTTTATAGACATAAGTATGTTTTTGTTGTACGTGAAATCCGATCAAGAAATTTCAAAATGGCGGTCTACTGTAAAATTGTTAATTAAAAATTTCGATTGATTACACAATATGTTATGGGCATGTCATCGATATATAACTTTTTGAAACTAAGGAGGAAAAACATTATCTTTATTATAATGAAAACTGAACTTTTTAAATAAACAAATAAAAAAGTAATTAACAAAAAACAAAAAATACAAGGCTGCATTTTCTGTGATTTTCAACTTAGAGAAAAACAACTTAGTGCGATTGATTACGCTTATTTTTACATAAATTTCAAAAAAAAAGTTTCTGTAGGAGCAATAGAAGCCGAGATACAACACTTTCAGTTTTTTACGCAATCTGTCTGTTATATTTGATTTTGAGATTTATAGTACCACTAGCGGCCCCCATCTCGGTTTCGCCCGAGACTTAATAAACAAAACACCGTAGTGTGTTGACATGTTATGTGAAACGTTTTCAGTTAGAAATTTTATACATATTCCTGACACATCTCAGAACACAAATCTTCTTATTAAAAACATATTTTTTCGGAATCCATTTAGTTCATTTGGTCAAATAATAAACTTTAAAAATAAAAAAATAAAAAATTATGCTGAAAACTACCGTGCGTTCTTTATGCCAAAAAAAAAATCGTTGGCCATAAAGAGCCGTTGATTTGCAGTTTCTCCCGTATAATTCACGAAAAGGGCTATTTTTTACAGCTGTTAAAATTTTAAGCTCCAAAAAAATACATATTAAAAAAAAATTTGTTTGCTCTTATATAACAACTTTATTACTAGAGCAACAAAGTCCTGGACCTTAAGCCCTACATTTTTTATTGCCACAAAAACACAAATACATTTTTTACTTATTTAAAATTCTGAATTTGGATCTTTTAAGATTTCAGAGATTGCTGTGAGGGTACCATGAAAAGCGTAATGGATTCTTTATTCGTTGATTTTGACGCTGCGGTTCCAATCTCGATGAATTTTCTGCGTCAGTTTCTTGACGCCTAAAACTGTATTTATTAGATGCATTTGAAGTTTTTCTCCCAATTCACCCTCTTGCGACTTTTGGGATGCTTAAAATTTTTGTGACCCCTAAAGACTGTTTTCAGTCAACTTTGTTAAGTTCCAATATATTTGTTGGCAAGGTAGTTCGACGTCCAATGGCCCGAAAAAAGACCGGTGAGCTTATTGAGTAAAGTAAACTCTTTCTTGACTTCGAAGTCTGAAGATTTGGAGCTAGTTGTAAAGATCTGTCCCAACGTCTCCTAGTATAACGTCGAAGACGTTAGTGTCTAAAGCACCTTTTTTATTTACAGATTCAGTTGTTTTGATGATCCTAGATGGGGAGATTGGTTCGTGATGCTTGACCGATATAGACTGTTCCGTTGGCTCAAATTTTGTTTCCCTTTATAGCTGTTAGGTTCGCCCAGCGCAGACCTTGGAGAGGATCGGTGATTTCTGGTTGAATGCTTAGAGTCGAGAGGATAATATAGGGTCGTGGGTCACCGGGATTCCCAGCCTCGCGAAGAACAACTCCGGTTGTGACGACTGCCAGTGGATGGCTGACTTGGTTTAATAGTGGCCGTCTTTAGTTAATATAGTCTTTTAGTCGACGAATCGCTTCCAGAAATGATAGTAAAAATGTATTTGTTTGCAAGGTAGGTTACGCTTAGGTGGCCCCTACAAAGAACCGATAAGATTGATGGTTAAGTAGGGAACGTAAATACTTATAATGGCCCTAAAAAGCGCCAGTGGTGAAACTTCCAGCTATTCCTTATTATTATTCCTGATGATGAAGAGCTGGCTATGGGTAGATTGACTCTTACCCTGAAAGTCTTTATGTACGGAGACTGTGATGGAGGGAGGTACGCCGCTGACCAAAGAATATCTCGTCTTTGGGTCGTTCCCCGGATAACCAACCGCTCATCGTCAGACGGTAACATGTGGGTACGCGCGTTGGGGATACGACCACTAAGAAGGTAGCCGTTGTGGCTGCCTGTGCCCTAAGAGCTGTCTTCCCTGGCTTACATTTGTAGCCCAAAATTCTCTGAGTGCACCAGGCGGGATGGTGGGACTGCCATACAACTCTGAAGAGTTAAAGCAGGTTGTGCTCTGGCTAGATATGTCTCCTGTTTTTACGTCAGAGACGTCATCGGTTAGAATAATTTTTTATAGGTGGCACTCATCGAGATTCAGGGTGAATGTAGACCTAGGTCCCTTCCTTCTTAGAAAAGAGTGTCGTCCGTAACCGGGATATCCAGCTGCACGACTATCATCTACATTCTCTATGCAGCTTCATGAAATGCCGGAGGACGGCTGCATCATTTTTCTGGACGCTCCGGCGTATTAGAACAACACTTATATGATTCTGTTGCAGGTAGCCTCGATTTAATGTCGATGCCACCTAGTGGATTCTACTGAGCTAAAGTGAAAAGCTGGCGTATCTATGTAAAACTTTGAGCTTATTCATTGCTATTGTTATTAGGTTTTTTAAGATAAAAACTATGCTAAAACCATCTAGGAAGTGTCATGAATCAGTGTGCAAAATTTCAGCAAAATCGGTTCAGTAGTTTTCACGGTTAGCGATTACACCGGTTTTAGCAACTTTGCTTTATATATTAGTAAGATACAACATTTGTTCCTGATAGATTTGGTGAATCTTCTTGCATGTAACGATTTATAAAAATAGTGAAAAAAAGTTGTAACCAGCGATGCATCCGGCATGCGCAGTTGCTCGAAAAGCGCTTAAGCAGAGGCTTTCGGCATTGTGCCTGGATTATTAGTTACATAATTAACGCTATTCGAGCTACTGCGCATGTGCGACGCACCGCCGGCTACAGCTCCTGAAGTACCGCAGCTCAAGCGCTATTTTTCACTGTTTTAATCACTCAATACATGCAAAAAGATTGGCTAAATCTGTAAGGAAAAAATTTTGCATGGTACAATAAACTTTGGCAAAAAAATCGTACCAGTCCGAAATTTTAAAATCAAAAATAACGGCTAGACTGCGTAAAAAACTGAAAGTGTTGTATCTCGGCTTCTATTGGTCCTACAGAAATTTTTTTTTGAAATTTATATAAAAATAAGCGTAATCAATTGCACTAAGTTGTTTTTTTCTAAGTTGAAAATCACAGAAAATGCAGCCTTGTATTTTTTGTTTTTTGTTAATTACTTTTTTATATGTTTATTTAAAAAGTTCAGTTTTCATTATAATAAAGATAATGTTTTTCCTCATTAGTTTCAAAAAGTTATATATCGATGACATGCCCATAACATATTGTGTAATCAATCGAAATTTTTAATTAACAATTTTACAGTAGACCGCCATTTTGAAATTTCTTGATCGGATTTAACGTACAACAAAAACATACTTATATCTATAAAACGTTCGATTTTTATTTAATTTTAAAAATTGCAACATGTATTTTCATGCATCTCAATTTTTTTGCGCTTTTCGGTTTTCTTGCTTGTTTAAATAATATAAAAAACTTTATAATTTTCTAGCACTTATTTTTTGTGTAAAATCATCAGATTAACAACTTTTGTATGTAACATTCTGCTTCAAAACCAAAATTTTCAAAGATATTTAATAAAAACTGAAAATAAGCTTTTCTATAAGTTATTTTGTAATATAAAACAATGACGCGTTTCTCCATCGAAGTCGACGATTCAGGGTCTTATTCAACGTATTTTTCTTCGAATTTTAAGCTAAATATCGTATTGTTATAATGGACCACCACCTTCGAATGCTCTGGCGCCCTGACTATTATTAGAGTGATTGAAAACTTTTTGAGCAACCACTTGTAGGTCTTCTTATTGGGGGATTTTGAGATTATGGAGTTTGGTGGTTGTGGGACCAAGGAATCACATGATTGAGGGATTATGAGAGTGAGAGATTTACGAACAATAAAAACATGTCGTGAATGTATTTTTTCTGGGACCGTAGCCAACATGTTTTAACTATCATATTAAAGTGTATTGGTAACTTTTCGAAATGATAGAGTTGTCATAAAATTAATGTTAATAACATATGAAGGTAACTAAGTACGCAAAGTGAAAATATTACATTTACCATCATTGATTGATTGTTTCGTGCTAATGTTTAACCTTGAACGGATAATTCTGAGATGAAACATTATACGAAATATATTCAAGATTGAGATTCGATTATTTAGATGAATACCAGAGTGTTTTCCGAATTGGCAAAAGGGAAAATTAAAAATGAAGCAGCAAATGTCACTCATTAAATGATCTAAGTAGTAAAATCTCTAATGTGTGTCCGTTTCTTATACATACTAAGATGCATAAAAATAATCAACTGATTATTATAACACTCAATTTTTTACTAGAAGGAATTTTTACAAACATAATCGAAATAAATTGTTGAACTGTTCATTTAAACACAACGTTACGTATGTAATTAATCAGTGATAACGTCATAACATTGTTTTACCCCAGTAAAGCTCACACTTAGTTCTATGCAATACGAAGATTGTAGAATGCGTACTTAATCTCAAATAATACTCCGCACTCGACTGACCGATTTTATAGGGTTTTATCTGAACAATGGGTGATTCATAGTCATGCTGTAAAAATAAAAAAAAATAGGAATAAAACATTCAACCATAAAAAAGTAACCGAACCGTGACGATTTAATACTCTAAATATTTATGTTTCAAATAGTATTCTAAAATAATATTTAATTTTACCTATTTTTTGAAGAGTTGCTCGGAAACATTTTGATGTTAGTGCAAAGGGATATTAATTGTGGACGTAGTAATTCTAAGCTATACATCACATCAAGATTGCTTTTGTTTTTTAATAATTCATTTATTTCTGTTATAATTGTGATGTAATCTAAAATAAGCTGTCCTTGATAAGCCCAACCACTAACAGAAGTGTAGCAGTCAGTTGATATAAATAAACGTAACAAAGTCTTTAAATACTCATGATCTCCTGAAAATAAAAAATAAAAATATCAGTACTAATACAATCAAAAATTACTATTTGTGACATAATTTTCTTCTTTATAATATACTTAGAAAGTGGTTCAAAGTTTTCTGCTATAAATTATTTATCTAATACTTTTTACAAGAGAAAAACATTTGTTGAACACATATATTTAATCTTATCCAGATATAGATTAAAATATCAAATAACATATTAACTAGAGTAGCATCTAAAAATAATAAAAAAACCAACAATATTGTGTGGGAGGAAATATTCAAGTAATATGAAATTTCTTTTTATATATTACAAGATCAATAAAATTGAAAACTTTGATATAATTAAAATATAATGTAAGCAATTTTTTGACTGCACAATTCATTCAAACACTAATACGCCCTTTGGCCGCTGAAATTGTGCTTTTCTTTCATGGTACGCGAACTACTATTAATTTAAACTATGGCTGATATTATTTCTTTAGTCTGCACGAAGTTCTTATTGCGTTAGTTATTTTTTTTCTTGATATTTTAATGAAAATGAGTCAAATTACCAATTTCTTACATGTATTCGCAGGACATAATATTATAACGTATTTTAACTATAACTTAACAAAGCTGTATTACCCTTTGCAAAAAGGTTAATAAAATAACGTATCTTGATAAGCTCTATTCAATAACAAAGATAAGAAAACTCTTTATTTTTGTATTAAAATTGAAAAATTAATGGACAACTAAAGTTATTTTAATATAATGAATACTAATGAGAGCATAATTATGTATAAAGCTCAAAAACCCGGCTACTTGTTAACTATTTGTATTAGATAAAAAAATTCTACAAACGTGTACACGCACATACGCAAGTACGCAACCAAACAATAGTAGGACTGTCCGCTTTTTTTCTACATCTTCCACCCAGAATGATAAAAGTGGCTCAACATTGTTTAGTGTGCCAAAAAATGACGAAAGTCTGTATACATTATACAGCGAGGTTATTTAAGTGGCTTGTGATGTAATTCTAAAAAGAAATAGTTATATTTGAGGTAAAGATTTCCCTGAGAACGACATTTATAATATAAATATCATTAAAACCATATTTGGTAAGATTACTTTCTAAGGAAAGTAATCATTTAATCCTTTATTGTATTTAAAAATATATTCTTACTGCTAAATTTATAAAATTCTGAATTTCCAATGGCAGAAATGATAAACATAAGAAAATCGTGCAGGACTTATACATGTCAATAACAATTTATATGATTTACTGCAAAATACAGTACAGTATTTTGTTGAACACATAAAAAATAGGGTCGGAAAAGGTACAACAAAAGTGGATTTTCAACTTTGAATTCGACTTGAAATTTTTCGACTTTAAAAGCCGACTATTCGTATATAAAAGTCGACTTTTTGACTTAAATTGACTTGTAAGAAATTCAAAAACTTATGCATAACAAATATTCGATAGTTTGCGTATTTATTATTATATTAGGTCCTTATAAATATAAGTACTGTTTTAAACTATTTATAAAAAAATGTTTATTAAGGTATTGTGCCTGGTAAGGTATTAAGGATTAAACTCAACTCTAAGAATTCAAATTTTATTTAAACCACATATTTTTATCTACTGACCGTAAAAATATCAACTCATTCAAATGCTGAGGGGACAAGAGGCTCCTCAACTGGTCAGAAATAAGACCAGCATGCGAAAACAACCTTTCACAATGTACAGACGTTGCTACTAGGGATAAAAACCTTTTGGAAACACTCCACAAGTGTGGATATTAGTATTTCATAGATTTCCATGGCTTAAATGGACTAGGGTTTTGTATTCGATTAAGAGCTGGGCGTGATAGATGCTGCCGTAATTGTATTGGGAGTCCCCCAGCTTCATCTGAATCTGCTTGAGAGTAACTACTAGCGACAGCTTCATCAATGTAGCACCATATATAATCAGATTCTTCTAAATTTTGACTTTGTATAGTACATGAAAACGTTTCCTTTTGAGTTGATGCTAAGCTTCTTTCTATCCTAACAAGGTCATCTAATCAGGATAAATTAAATGAAAGAAAAAAATGTAGTTTTATGAATATAAAGTAAAATATACAAAGATAATTTATACCTTAAGCACTGGGAGGCGCGAGGGACAAGGGTAGCAAAGCAAAAGGAGACGTCGGTTAGTTTGCAAGAAATTTATTCGTCTTGAACCTATACAACTTGATAAAACAGGAGGGCGGTGCAGACTAACTCTCACAGTCTCAGTCACAACTCACATTTTTAAGGTTTGCAATGAAAGAAACACATTTACCTAAAGTAATACACATTTCCGAGAAAACTTCGAAGGGAACTTGCGAAAGGGGTTTTTAAATTTCAGGAACTTCTATCAAATCATCAATTTCACCTCCAGTGATCATATTAGGTGGTTTAGCTCTTAAAGATTTGTTTATTTTAACTTTCAGGAGTACCTTACTGATATGGTCAGCAAGGGTGATAAAACGGTCAATCATTTCGAAGCAGGAGTTCCATCTAGTCTTGACCTCTGGAATTAAACCAAGACGAGATTGTTTATGGAGGTCTTGTTGCTAATTACTCAGTTGTTGCTTTTTCACTATGAGAAAAAAAAGAAACGATTTTTTTCACTTTTGATACAAGCTCACGCAACGTTGATAGCTCGCCGGTGGTGAATACATTTAAATCATCAAAATCATCAATGGTATCTTCTTGTTCAAGAGGCAACTCGATTACTTTATCTTCATCAGACTCAGATGCCGGTGGTGTTATATTTATTTCGACAAGTCTCTGTCCGATATTATTAATGACATGTCCCAAAAATGAAATAGTTTTTCCAAACCAAATTCTTCTTTTATAGCTCCCTTGATATTAGAGCTTCCATCTGAAACGAATGCTGCAATTTTATCATCATATATTCCCCATTCATTGCAGATTTCTCTAAACTTAGAGCTCAAGTTCGGGATAGTTTTTCGTTCTTCCATGTGGTAAGCACCCAGCTCAACAGTTTTCATTTCAATTTCTAAATATTCAAGTAATATGAAATTTCTTTTTATATATTACAAGATCAATAAAATTGAAAACTTTGATATAATTAAAATATAATGTAAGCAATTTTTTGACTGCACAATTCATTCAAACACTAATACGCCCTTTGGCCGCTGAAATTGTGCTTTTCTTTCATGGTACGCGAACTACTATTAATTTAAACTATGGCTGATATTATTTCTTTAGTCTGCACGAAGTTCTTATTGCGTTAGTTATTTTTTTTCTTGATATTTTAATGAAAATGAGTCAAATTACCAATTTCTTACATGTATTCGCAGGACATAATATTATAACGTATTTTAACTATAACTTAACAAAGCTGTATGAAAATAAAAACCATAGAAACATTACCCTTTGCAAAAAGGTTAATAAAATAACGTATCTTGATAAGCTCTATTCAATAACAAAGATAAGAAAACTCTTTATTTTTGTATTAAAATTGAAAAATTANTTTTTTTATAATTAACGACTAACCTTTCAAATAGTGAACTGTTAGACCAAGATAGCTTTTCATGGTATGGTGACGAACCCAGATATCTGTAGTCAGGAAAACTGACTCCGCTTGTTGGAGCTCAACTTTTATAAGATTTGATAATTCCTGGTATTTGCCCGTCGTTGCTGCAGTCACAGTCGGCTCACACGATAAAAGATATAGCGGTTGTATTTTTTTAAATGAAAGTCTTAAATACAGCTCTTTCAGGGGTAGATAGAGGTACATTATCTACTGCAATCATTCGAATAAGGGTAGTTGTTACTTGATCATGTCGATACCCACCAGCTAAAAAATAAAATAAAAAATTTTTTTTAATGTAATAGTTTATAAGCTAATCTTTTTAGTTATAATTACATTAATCCTTACCTGAAAAAGAAGTAACATTATTTAGGCATCGATCCATAAGATCCTGAGAGTAAGGTTTCAATGTAACATTATTAGAAGAACACAAAGTAGTTTTAGTTGCCGAAGACAACAAAGAATGAGATGATTCTGATGAATGTGTTGCCATTAAAGCCTTAGTTTAAGGTAGACTAAATTATTACCGAGCAAAAACTGAATTCACATCGGGAAACAATAACTATTTAAATGAGTTAATATAATTTAAAAAATGAGTTAAGTAAGTAAAAAAATGTATTAAGTAAATATTTACTTTTCTACGTTGGATTCCCGATTCAGATCCCGAATCATTTTCAGTGTCACTTGCTATTTTGAGTGCTTGATTTTTTTTTCTAACACTACTAGCAGCAAGCTCAATTTTGTGTGCAATTTGCAAATGCTTTATCATGGTTGATGTACTTTTATTAAAAAGAAGCTCTTAACTACAAATGTTACACTTCACTTTATTACCATTGTCGATTTTTGAGCAATGGACCCATATAAAACTGGGGGCCATAATGAAATACTGTGATGAAATAAAATGATTAAGTAGAGTTCTTTACAAAAATTATAATTAAATGTAGATACTTTTTTACTGATGAAAATATACAGGTAGAGCCTCTCCGTTACAGGTTAGGGGAAGCGAATAAACAGAGGCACAGCTTCTGCTGCACAAAGTTCTAGAAAATTTTGCTGCAGCACCGTATTTTGCTTCGCCCAACTTGCCCGAGTAACCGTAAGTTAACCTAACGGTAATTGACTAGTTGAATGGTGCCGATGACACGAGCCTACAAACGCCTTTACGTACACTACCTACGTGTTCCAAGTTTCAAATGACGGTGCAGTGTTGACCAGTTCCATAGTCCTATTACAACTAACGGTAATACTCACACTTATGTCGCACGTGACCGTTGACACCAATGAGTTGCATGGTTGCATCAGTCAAAGCACTAACTGTTGCCTAGGTGTAGAAATTTAAAAGTAACGACTTATAATAAGTTTCGTCAAGCCGTCATTTAAAAGTAAAAGTCGATTCTAGTCGACTGCAAGTGACATCAGCTCGATTTTAAAAAGTCGATTCAATTAGT